CCCCCCTTCCGTGTGTCGGTGCCCGCATCCGAATGACTTGGGTGAAACGGCAACGGTTCTCCAAACACCTGCGTTTTTGCCGAAAAGACTCGAGACGGAGAGTGAGGCCAGGCGGACGCTGACCGAGCTGGCCCTCCAAGATGCAACGACGACATCAGCCGACGACGACCCTGGCGACCAAGCCCGCTCGCCACCGTCGCCAGGGAGAACGTCGTCCCCGGCCGTGCCCGGGGGGTGGAGGGCGGGGGGTTGGGGTGCGTCGAGATTGCCCGCCGACGGCCCCGGCGAAGGCGGACGCGCTAACGGGGGCGAGGGGGGCGGGGTGAGGTCGCGGGACCGGCAGGGTTCGAGGGCGCCGGGAAGGGTGGCGAGCGGCCTCAAGAGAGGGGTTACCCCCGAGAAAGGGGCTAGCCTTTGGGCCGGCGTCGGCATCGGGGCCATGCTCCAGGTGGAAGTTACACCCCTCACGTTGCGTATATATGTTGGCGTACGTAATTGTGTTGTATCAGACGGGGTAACAAGGGGAGGGAGGTGGCAGAATGCTTTCTCGTCTTCGGTGGTGTGCACGTCGCCCCTCTTGATTATTTTTTTCATCACATCACACGGGTGACAGTTTTTGGCGGTGTTTTTGGGCCGGCTGCTGTACCTCAAGTAGGCAACAGTGGTCCCGAGGAGGTTTCGGGTAGGATTTAGTAGTCATTCGGAGTTCCAGCTTCCCCCCCTCTCCTCCATGAGATGCAGGGTGGATGAACGGAATGTGAATGCTGGACGGGCTTGCCCTCAAAATTTCCGGTTCAGGACATCCTGAAAGTACGCAAATGTCCCTTCTGATGTTCGCCGAATCCTCCTCTGTCCACAATGAGTCGAGGATCATTTTTTAGCTCGCGCGTGTGCGCTTTGTAGTTCTTACTGTAGCACGACGAATGCACCTCTAGCCATATTCAAGAATCGAACTTGTATAAACTACTTCCAACTTTCGTGAGTTGCTCGCGTTGAATCCCTCTTTATGCCCCCGTTTCCTCTTGGAACGCCACCCCCCTTATCGCCCTTTTTGTGCTGTTGTCCGTACAGGGAGCGTCACCACAAGACGGGGAGGTCTACGCCAAGATGGCGAGAGATCAGCTAGACTCGGCGAAGGCGTACGGGGAGGACGGGGGGGGGGGGGGGGG